ATATGCATTATATATAAATATATATTTATAACATATAATATATTATTCATTATTAAAAATATAATATTTTATATATAATTCTAGTGTTTTATTATATATTTTTTATAATATATATTAATAATAAAAAATCGATAAACTGACAAATGATGTGGTGTTTGTGGATTCGTATGATTTCATGAATCATATGATTTCATGAGTGACTTATACTTAGTGTTGTGGATTCATACATAGTATCTTCTTAAGTTGTCGATGTTCCATGCTCGAGGTACTAGCTTCCTTTCCAAAGTTTTGAGCTCATATGTGCCTTTCCTGTACACCATTCTTATACGGTACGGACCTTCCCAGTTCGGTCCGAGTTTACCCACACCGGGCTCAGGTACCATAACTTTTTGTAGGACTAGATTTCCAACACGAAACTACTGCTTCTTGACCCAAGCGTTATAGTACCGATATACTTTCTGTTGGTATGCTGTAGTTCGGATGTAGACCAAGTCTTGTACCTCCTCTACAAGGTCCAGGTTGGTACGGAGCTCTTCATTATTTGTTTCGTCATCATAAGCCTCAAGTCGCAACATGGGCACATCAATTTTTGCCAAGATCACCGCTTCTGTATTATATGTGATGTTAAAGGGGGTCTCACTCGTCACTGTCTTGATGGTAGTCCAGTAGGCCCAAAGAACACTGAGTAGTTCGTCCACTCACAACCCTTTAACTCGTGCAAGACGGGCTTTCAGCTCGCGAAGGATGGCTTTGTTTGTTACTTCGGCTTGCCTGTTTGCTTGTGGATGTTCTATCGAGGTGAAGTTCTATTAAATTCCCATCTCAACACACCAGTTCTGGAATTTAATATCTTCAAATTGCTTTCCATTATCTGAAATCAAGATTTTGGGGAGTCCAGAACGGCATACAATGTTTTTCCAAAAGAAAATTTGCACATTCCAGGCTGTAATGCCTACTAGCAGTTATGCTTCCACCCACTTCGTAAAGTAGTCTATTATTGGACAGTTTTGTATGCCCTTAGCTTCAATCAGAATGATGTACTTTATGAGTTTATTGTAAATGAATAAAAGTGCATATTTGATTCATGTTCCCTTGGTATGGGTTGTTGCTCTTATATAGTTGAGCTCCCGTGGGTTTCATGGAATGGTTCTGGGATCTTCGGCCTGAGGGGATTAGATCTGCTTCCGCTATAGTCGAGGTGTAACGTATCAGTCAATGAAGTCTATCATTCCCACAGATATTAGAGATGTTGCATTTCAAATGATGCGGTGTTTATGTAGGTTATTATATGATGAGTCAATGATGTGATTTAAGTAAATTTTTTTTTACAATTCTTTTCAAACACCCACCAAGTAGTCGGCCAATTGCTGCCAGGGAATGGTGAAATTTTATCATGAATCAGATAATAGTTTACATCTTGTTTGGAAGGGATGAATTTTTGGTTGAGCCGCTTTGGTGAAATTATTAAAAAGAAATTCTAATTAGTTTCAAAATATTTGATACACCCTGATACTTCAAAAACATTGGAACATGAGTATTGGGTATTATGATCACCCACTACTAGGGGTGAATATGGGTCCGTTTGGATTGGTTCCATGGTAGAACTTGGAACCTACCTTGTAGGGGTCGGTTTTAAGTTTTTGGAATCAGAACCTACTCTTTAAAGGTCGGTTTTGGCCTTGACTGTTCTGGGGTCGATTCTAATATTTACCCATGGAATTCTTTCTTTCTTTACTCTCCCTCTTAAAAAAAATTGTTCTTAAAAATTTGATTTTCAATAAATATAATATATAGTTTAAAACTTATATTACCTTTATTGATTAAATTGAGTAATTTAATATATAGATTATCATAATATATTAATGTATGATTCAAAACTTATCATTCTAATTCAAATTTTATAAATATTACATATTACGTTAGTTATTGTACACATTCAAATACTAAAATGAAAACAAATGATCAAATCACTAAAATAATTCAATGGTCAAATGAGACATAGTAACCATGAGTGCGTGTGTTCAAATCTTCACATCCTCAAAAGTATTTTGAGGTTTATTTCAAGACAAATTCGATTCTAATGTAGGTTCCACCAAGGCCAATTTATCGGGTTGGTTTGGGTAGGATTTAACCCTAGAACTAGCTTAGGTGGGAATTGGTTCCAACAATTTAGTACCACACCCTACCCTGGATTGGGTAAGATCAGTTCAAGGCCATTTCATCAAGTTCCGAGTTGAACCTATCCATTTATTCACCCCTATCCACTACCTCATTTTTTTAGTTAGTTTTTTTTTTCAAAATTTTATTAGGGGTTGGTCTTAACAAGGCTTACCCCTATTGAAAATAACAAAAGTTAAAAATACCTAATATTTAACATATCGGGGTGCTACCAATATGACATGATACATCATACACCTAATACATTCTGATACATTGTGATTTTTTAACCTTTGAAGCCTCAACGAAAAACCATATTTTTTATTATAAAACAGCTACTTTAAGCTTTTAGGATTTTCACTGAACATGCTTATATACTTTTTGAATGGAGCTCCACTACTCAAACAATAACAAGAAGACAAGAAATCATGCGATATTATCTAAAAACTCACCATGACTTTCACATTTCTCTTAAACTCAGCATAACTTTTCAAAACTTCCAAAGAGCCTCTCATTCAATGAGTTTTATTATCCAAAACTAACGTTCTGTTAGATTTCCATTAGGTCACACTGTTAGTGATTAGTCAACCTTATTAAATATTTTTATGATAAAATTACCCTTGATTGCTCATATATAATAATTATGCATATATATTTTGAATTATGCGAGTTGGGTCAGGCCTAGGTTGGCTTGAAATATTAGGCCCAAGTCCAACTCTAAAATTTGTCCTATTGTGGGCCCGGGCTCAGGTCAGGGGTAATTTTATCATAAAAATATTAGGAGAATGATGGTTCAGCCCAGGGTCAGAATTTTTAGGCCCAAAGTACAGTTGGGGTAGGTGCCAGCTCGGAATTGATGCTAATTCACGGACGGGCATTTGTGCATAGAGTGGAGATATTTGACATTTTGAATGTTTATAGATCTGAAGTGGAATTCAGAAATCTGCATGGGCCTGTCCGTACTTTTCCGAAAAATATTTAATAAGCTTGGTTGGCCATTCACGAGTAATTTGGTCATACAAAATAATGCTTATGTGGACAATTTCTATTAATGATTGATAACAATGATCTAATGAAAATCTTAAAAGGAAAGTGAGTTTTGGACAATAAAACTCACTCACATGAGGCTCTCTAAAGATTTCCAAAAGTCATCATGAATTTAAAAATTATGAGAAATGTAAAAAATTCATAATGAATTTTAGATAATATCCCAAAAATCATATAACAGTACAACTAGGAGCTCATCAAATCCACCCACATGGAGAAACCCTAATTTATCCCAATTTTTCCGCGTAAAACTGTTTGCAAACAATAGAGAATTTCTTGTCAGGTTCCTTCATTTAAACAAAACACGTTTGAATAACAAATGAGCAATTGACTCTCTAAATCTGAGCAGGTCCAACTGCTCCCTTTGGGTTTAGCATTTTTTATTCTTTTTGAATATTGGGTTAAGAATACGACCAGGATTAAAAAGATTTCCTTTTAATGATTGGAGACTGGATCTGTCTTAGTCATCCTCTCTAATTTGTTTGAAATGTAGGGAGTAGCCAAGACCATCCAACCCAACAATTCTCTTGTTAGTAAAGCTACTTTATTATACATTAACAGTTCAAAAATACATGAACAATTTATTAAAATTTCTAAATATCACAAGAAAATCTGTATTTTTTTTGATATTGAGGGACCCTCGGGATCTGTTACCCACAAAATGTTATCATATCTATATCTATAGAACACCATGACGCCATGTATTGGGAACATCTCCATATAAATGAAAAGGTAGATATTCCCAAATCCCATGGGTAGGGGTGTGGGAACAATTAATTAGTGGGTAACAGATCGGAATTCATTAAGGCTGTGTTTGGTTTAAAGGAAAAAATGGGGACAAGGAAAGGAAAGGTAGGGAAATTTACACAAAGTTTGTAAAAGTTTTCCTAGATGATTCTCTTTGAATGTTCACATAGTATTCTTTACTTAATTTTTTTGACTGAATCTTTAATAGTCCAAAAGGTAACTAATTATCTAAGCAAATCTAGTACTCTCATTTTCTTTATTTATTTTTTCTGTTTAGATCGTACCTGCCACATGGTTGTAATTGAATATTATAGAATGTTTTGCAATTTCATCAACATTTTCATGTTATAAGCCCCCAGATGGAAAAAGGAAAACGCCCTACTTTCCGAACAATGAAGGTTTGTAAATTCTAGTACCCTCAATGCTTGGCAAAATGTAATTTAATTAGTTGGTATCTCATCATATGTAGCTTGTTGATGTGTGGACATGCATGGATTTAGATAGAAAAGTAGTCATTGGTCCTGTATTCAACCATACCAAAAAGGACATGGAAAATAAAGAGAAAAAATTAAAGAGAGAAAACATAACCTACTTCACTAAACTATATATAAAGGAATTTATTAAGCTAAAATCTAGTCCATTATATAATGGGAAGCTTAAGAAATTGTAGTTCAAACCTTTATTTTTACCCTTATATCAAGTTATATCATTGTTCAATGCAAAGTTTTAAAAATTGACTCAGAACCAGAACCATTGTGGCCACACTGGTTTCCAATTCAAGCGGGCGAATGGATGGCCCATTTCAATTTAAAAAATAAAAAAAAATTAACATAAAAAATGGTCAAAAACTGTTAAACGGATCAAATGGGTTGATGGTTCGACCACCCAGGTCAATGGATTATTGACCAAATAAATAGTTTTTAGCCAAGGATCGGGTTTAGAGTAAAATGTAACTGGTTGCCTAAACGGTTCCTGGGCCGAACAATCAGCCATCTGGGTGAACAGCGGTTTGAAAATACTAGTTCAGAGGCAATTCAACCTAAAAATGATGACAGCATAACAACTTCACTAAAACGAGTAACAGAGGAAAAGAAATATATAGAGAGATAGAGTAATATAGGATGCTAACATGGTAAAACACCATTATTAAGCATGAGATGTTATTATTTATCTTCAAAATCACTACAATGATATCATCATTTTATTAATATATTATATATATTTAAATATATAAAACGTATAGATATTATATATAAAAAATATATGAGTCGTGCCAGCCCGTGGGCCACGGGCGGCACAACACGACAGCGGGCCATGCTGGCCGGACCCGTCGACCTGAAACTCCAATCTCGGCATGGCCCATCGACCCATACAATCATGCTGGTCTGCGGTACGGCCTGTGGGCCATCGGGTCGGGCTGGCTCAAAATCATGTTGGGTCACGGGTGGCATGATCTGATTTACACCTTTACATTGAACACACCTAAAGTGATTACAAATAAAAGGGAGGTGGGGATATTGGGCCTTACTCTCTGATTATCTTAGGGATTTGTAAATTCGCTCCTTTGTTCATCTTTAGGAGCTATTATGCAAAGTTTTCTTGTCAAGCATTATATGAAATTACCATTTTAAATTTAAATCAAATGGTAATAGAGATTTGAAATAAAAAACCACAAACAGTGGCCATTGTCCCTCTTCTAGGTTTGACATAAATTAAAGAACTCAGTATTGTAGAAATATTGCAAGACTTTGCATCATGACTAGATATTGGGTAGAGAAGATTACATTCAATCTGCAAGTTAACAAACAGAACAAGATCGGTCACCAATCGGCGGGTTGATCATATGGTCACTGTAACATCAGTCCCTTTGTTTGATGGAATGGTACAGTTTAGCTGCTGCTAGCTAAATGAATAAGAATAATGCAATATCTTAAAATATATATGTTCCTGATCGTGAGATCCCACTTTGGTTGGGAGCAGGAATTTCAAAATCTAATGGGTAGATGACTTTGTATCCGAAGAAAAGATGGAGAACCAAACAATTCAAAGAACCAAAACCATTCAAATGGGAAATACGATTAAATAAACAAAATCCAGCTTGGCCAACTCAATACAATATCATTTCTATTATTATTTAAAATAAGAAAACCTAATTCAATTCATCACTTGTGACAGATTTTCCTTGATCATCACTTATAAATACTTGGTCATGCAAGCCCAATTCGCACTGAAGACCACAGCCAACCCATCAACAAACTTTTGATACAGTGGCCGGAGACGGTAGATTTTCCGGCAATATTTCATGAGAAATCCGGGTGGCGGCCCCATATGGGGTCGTCTTTGGCCTCAAGTTATAGTGGCACTAGTCTTAATCCTTTTCTCTAACAATGTATCATCGGTTTATGGTGAACCTTACATCTACCAGTCTCCGCCACCACCTTCGCCTTCACCACCATTGCTGCCTTACTATTACAAATCCCCACCACCACCATCTCCATCTCCACCACCACCATATTACTATAAGTCTCCTCCGCCACCTGTTAAATCACCTCCACCACCAGCTTACTATTACAAATCTCTACCACCACCTCCACCAGTGTACTATTACAAGTCTCCACCTCCACCACCTCCTTACCACTACAAATCTCCACCCACTCCCCCAAAATATTATTACAAGTCTCCACCACCACCTCCCCCAGTATATTATTATAAGTCCCCACCTCCACCACCACCTTACCACTACAAATCTCTGTCTCCTCCTCCAAAATCTTATTACAATTCTCCACCACCATCACCACCTTATCATTACAAGTCACCACCGCCACCACCACCAGTGTATTATTACAAGTCTCCACCTCCTCCACCACCTTACCGTTACTACAAATCCCCACCTTCTCCTCCAAAATATTACTACAAGTCTCCACCACCACCTCCACCAACATACTACTATAAATCTCCACCTCCACCGGTATCTCACCCTTACCCTCACTACTATGTTCTTACAGTGGTTGGAAAGGTTTACTGTGAGAAATGTTATAACTGGGAGCACCCTATGAAGTACCGCCTAAATAAGCAACTACAAGGTAGGATCTCTCGAAACATTTTTGTTGCATAAGAATATTTATTTACACCTAATTAGCAAGGATACAATCATGATTTACAAATAATATATAGGTCTAAGAGATTTGTCTTGATCAATCCTTGTGCTCATTTTTTTAGAGTCAGAAAGATCTTTTCATGTTTGAATTTGTTCATTTTAACTTAGATTTATTTTGTGTTATTTCATTTATTTACTTTACTTTTGTTTTCTGCCTCTATCTTTTCCTTTTATTTCCTTCCATTATAATTTAAAATTGAAAATTTAATTTGAACTTATAAATCTAATCCATTTTTCCATCAACTGATGTAAACCCAAATAAATCAAATTGCTGAATATGAAAATTTAATTTCTCTTACAAATTTATAGTTTCTTGTGGTAAATTTCTCAGCATAACACATGTTTTATACAGATTTCAAAGCTAAACATAAAAGCTCTTTATGTCTATGATTATTTAGCACTTTACTTAACTAAAACATGAAAACTATAATTTTATGTTGTGCAGGTGCTGTTGTGAATGTGATATGCAAGGCTGGTGAGAAGCACATTGTTTCATATGGAAAGGCCAATAATAAGGGTGAATATAATATCACAATTAAGGATTTTGACTATTCAAAGTATGGAGTCGAAGCATGCAAGGCTAAGCTCCATGAATCACCCAAGGATTCATCTTGCAACATCCCCACTGACATCCATGATGGCAAGAGGGGTGCCAAGCTTAAAGTAAAATCAGAGATGCACTACTCTATTGTGCTTAAGGCTGAGTCATTTGCTTATGCACCCAAGACTCCGTACAAGGACTGTGAGAAGCCTGTTAACCCACCATACTACTACAAATCTCCACCACCACCGAAGCCAATTTACCACTACAAGTCACCTCCTCCTCCTTCACCAACTTACCACTACAGCTCTCCCCCTCCTCCAATATACCACTATAAGTCACCACCTCCTCCTGCACCAGTCTATAAATATAAGTCCCCACCACCGCCACCAACCTACCACTACAAGTCACCTCCTCCACCCTCACCAGCTTACCACTACAGCTCTCCCCCTCCTCCAGTATACCACAAGTCACCTCCTCCTCCTTCACCAACTTACCACTACAGCTCTCCCCCTCCTCCAATATACCACTATAAGTCACCACCACCTCCTCCACCAGTCTATAAATATAAGTCCCCACCACCACCACCAACCTACCACTACAAGTCACCTCCTCCACCCTCACCAGCTCACCACTACAGCTCTCCCCCTCCTCCAGTATATAAATATAAGTCACCACCTCCTCCTCCACCAGTCTATAAATATAAGTCCCCACCACCACCACCAACCTACCACTACAAGTCACCTCCTCCACCCTCACCAGCTTACCACTACAGCTCTCCCCCTCCAGTATTCCACTACAAGTCACCTCCTCCTCCACCAACCTACCACTACAGCTCTCCCCCTCCTCCAATATACCACTATAAGTCACCACCTCCTCCACCACCAGTCTATAAATATAAGTCCCCACCACCACCACCAACCTACCACTACAAGTCACCTCCTCCAACCTCACCAGCTCACCATTACAGCTCTCCCCCTCCTCCAATATACCACTACAAGTCACCACCTCCTTCTTCACCAACTTATCACTATAGCTCCCCCCCTCCTTTAGTATACCAATATAAGTCACCACCTCCTCCTCCACCAGTTTATAAATATAAGTCCCCACCACCACCACCACCAACCTACCACTACAAGTCACCCCCTCCACCCTCACCAACTTACCACTACAGCTCTCCCCCTCCTCCAATATACCACTACGAGTCATCTCCTCCTCCTTCACCAACTTACCACTATAGCTCTCCCCCTCCTCCAGTATACGACTACAAGTCACCACCTCCTCCTCCACCAGTTTATAAATATAAGTCCCCACCACCACCACCAACGTACCACTACAAGTCACCTCCTCCACATTCATCAACTTACTACTACAATTCTCCACCTCCTCCAGTATACCACTATAAGTCACCACCTCCTCCACCAGTTTATAAATATAAATCCCCACCACCACCACCACCACCAACCCACCACTATAAGTCACCACCCTCACTAACGTACCACTACAATTCACCCCCTCCTCCAGTTTACAAGTACAAATCACCACGTCCTCCACCCACCTACAAATATAAGTCTCCTCCACCACCTCCACCTATCTACCACTACAGGTCGCCACCTCCACCTCCACCAACTTATCAGTACAATTCTCCCCCACCTCCAGCTTATGAATACAAATCACCACCTCCTCCACCACCTTCTTACAAATACAAGTCTCGTCCTCCACAACCACCCACCTACCACTACAACACCACCTCCACCACCGCCAACTTACCACTATAGTTCCTCGCCGCCTCCAATTTATCAATACAAGTCTCCACCTCCTCCTCCACCCACATACGAGTACAAGTCCCCTCCACCACCACCACCGCCTACCTATTACTACAAGTCTCCACCTCCACCTTCGCCAACCTACCACTACACTTCTCCCCCTCCTCCAGTTTACCAATACAAGTCACCCCCTCCCCCACCCACTTACAAGTACAAGTCTCCTCCACCACCACCATCACCACAACCTACCTACCTTTATAAGTCACCACCCCCACCTCTTTCAACATACCACTACAATTCTCCCCCTCCTCCAATTTACCAATACAAGTCACCTCCTCCTCCCCCACTCAGTTACAAATACAAATCCCCACCACCACCATCGCCACCTACTTACTACTACCATTCACCTCCTCCACCACCACCTATATACACATATTCATCCCCACCTCGTCCAATCCACTATTAGGGTTAAAAGTTTCCCTCTTCAATCATGTAAGTACCAATTCAACATGATTTTTTTAATGGTTATGACTGATAATTAATAATTTTTTATAAAATAATATCATCTTGCAACTTTGTTAATTTGCAGGTTTTGGTTTGGAAATTGAAATAAAGAAAGGGCTTGTAAAGAGGAGATTCTTGAAGATTTTAAACTTTTCTGATTCTGTATTTATTGCTTCTTCCACTTCTTTGGGAGCCATTTTACTTTTTCATTGTTATCATATTTGAGTAGAAGTGGCTTTAAAAGTAGAACTGGGCTAAGTGGACTTAGGAGTAGGCAGGAAGTGTAGTGCCTTTCTTTCTATTGTTGTATTGATTATTCATTACAAGGAATAAGATCTTACTTATAGGGAACTTGCCTCTCAAAATTTATTATTCATTATGCACAAAAAATGTTTCTAATAAAAAGAAAGTAGTTGCCATTTAACTCTTTCTCTCTTCCTCTCTCTCTCTTTCTCTCTCTCTCTCTCTCCCTCTATGTGTGTGTATGTAGGTGTCTGTGTGCATGGACATCATAATCCTACTAGTAAATCTAAGGAAAAAACTCATAAAATAGATATATTTATTAGATTTTTGCACAAATCGCAAGGGATGAGTCAAATAACTAAGATTTAAAACCTCTTGGAATAAATATAAAATCGTGTGCTTTGTGCGAATTGCCTTTGGGCCTAATCTTAAAAATTGAATACAATATTAAAATAGAAAATCTTTTATTTCATGTGAGTGGCCTCTATGAATAATTCTGAAGTTGGTAGAGATCTGTTGAAACAAAAAATGTAAAAGAAAGAGGATGAAAAGAAGTGGTTTTGTGAGAGAAGAGAAGAAGAGAAATAGTGAAGAAAGGAGGAGAAGGCAAAACTAATCTAGCCACCCTCTTGATTAGTATTTATACTTTAAATAAAAACTATGTATAATGACTGATATGCCCTTATAGGGCGGTTGTTACAAAAAAACAAAATCAATAAAAAACATAAAATACTACTCTAAAAGCTCCCAAATAATATGTTGTAGTCCCTACTTCCTAACTAAACATATAATAAACAAATCAAGTAATAAAAACTGTAAAAGTTCTCTACACTCCCTCTAAAGTTGGGAGTAAATGTCACACATTCCCAACTTGCATAGGTCATATTCAAGCTTACTCCTTGCAACTCCTTTGGTGAAGACATCAACAAACTGTAATTTAGAAGAGATATAAGGGAGGCAATCTTTTCCAAGTGTCACCCTTTCTCTTATAAAGTGTCTATCAACTTCAATATGTTTTGTCCTATCATGTGGAACTAGGTGGTGGGTAACATTGATTATAGCTTAGTTGTCATAGTATAACATTAAAAGCTTCTCTACATCTATTCCAATCTCACTCAACAAGGACCTAATCCAAAGTAATTCTGAAACATCATGGGCCATAGTCTATACTTGATTTTTGCACATGACCTTGTCACTAGTGACTATTAACCTACCACCCTCTAATATCTCCCCAAATCCTTAACCAACTCACCATACAAAGCATTAATCGAGTGGTTCTAGTCAATGGGAATATCAACTAGTCTAATTCCTAGATTTCTAGGTTTTGTAGTAGGTCTAATACATACTTCCTTTGAAAGAAGAATATCCCATGCATGGATCTTGCAAAAAAAAAGGAATTTAGTTATCTTAAATCCTCAATCTCAAATTCTTGCTCCAGTGACTTATTGAGTGCATCAATCTCATTCAGATCAATCCCTATAACAACTATATCATCCACATACATAAGTGATCCTCTCCTTTTCATAAAGAGAGTTTGATCCAATTGGGATTATGTTAGACAGTTTTGTATGCCCTTAGCTTCAATCAGAGTGATGTACTTTATGAGTTTATTGTAAATGAATAAAGATACATATTTGATTCATGTTCCCTTGGTATGTT